GTTTTTAGTTGGAAAGAATTAATGAAAAATCCGTTTCGAGAAACACGCTAGAATTTAAGAAATAGAAATTTTTCTTCTTTTGTTATTCGATATGTTGTCATTTCGATGTGTGTTTTCTTTTCAATATATAAAGTAATTGTAGCATTTCTTCAACAATTCTTTATAAAAGTGAAAGCAACGCGCTACTCGTTTCTTTTTAAATATAATGTACAAACAAATGATACGCATATACGTTACATGCACGTTAAAGATATTCAGGAATAATAATAATAATAATTTTAATAATAATTTTTAGAGAGAACGTTCGAGAGAAATTTTTTTTTTTTTTGACAATATTCTAGAAACTCGGAATTAATCGTAAAATCAAAACTTAATTGGGCGCGTGATGAAGACAGTGCAATTCGAGAAAGAGAGAGAGAGAGAGAGGGAGAGGGAACGCGATTCATAACTATTTACCCGCACGATAAAATTTTCATTCGTCCGGTACCGTGACGAGCCAGTTTTTAAACCGCAATTTGCCAAAGTTTGTCCCAATTCCCGGTTATTTCAAATTTTAGTAGAAGGTAATCGTAATTTTCAGTGGAGACATAGTTTGCAGTTACGATTATGGAAACGCAACTAGAAGCTCGTTTTCGAGTTATAACTCGAGGAAGAGGGGGAGGGGGGGGAGGAGAGAGAGAGGGAGAGAGCGAGCTTTGCCGTTCCGTGCTCTGAGAAATGGGTGAATACGTTTGCTCGAATGAAGGCCCGTGATAAAAAGGAAAAACGCGCCGCGTCATCGCTGTTTTTCCCCGGAAATCTAGTCCCGATCCTCTCCGCATATGCTAAACCAAACTCTTTTGCGCGTCTCTCTAGATTTAACGAACCGTCGTGTCTTCTGTTCGATACGAATTTTGATATACGAATAATCGATACCAGACTGAGTTTTGTCAAGAAATAGTCGAGAAATAGTCGAGAAATACGTCAGTGATAGTAAAATGATGGATGATTTAATGCAAAAATTGCCGATATCAAAATTATTGAATAATATGTAAAATTCTGGAAGTAGGTATCGAGACTTAAATGTAGAATGTACTGTGGAAAAGTAATTTTTTTTCCTTATTCTGAATAGATTTATAGATGTTTAGAATTAAGAAATTGTGAAAATTATCGTTCGCAAGTTAAACAGAAATTTTTCTAAAAAAAAAAAAAAGAATATCGTCATCAGTGTTTTCGCGATACCTTGAAATTATTCCTCTTGATTACACGGATCTGCAGGAAACGTTTCAATAAACATAAGATGTTACCGTTGATTAAGCAGCATGTTGTTTTGATTAATTGGCTTTATATTCGAATATATATATATATATGTACAAGTGTGCAGCACATAAACTAGGATCACCGAGCTGATAAATTGTAAGATACGTCTGGTAATACTCGTTTCGAATGGTGTGTATCTGTGCAATAAGCGTGTGACAGCTTCGTAACTCTCCAGCAGAATCAACGTGCCAAGACTTGAAAGCTATTACAGTTAGTCTTTAAACAAATCTAAAAGACCGATGAAGAAGATAGATACAATTGTTTCTCTGGTATTTCGTATTTAAACGTTTTTTTTCAAATTTTTACTTTTTCGTTTTATCACCAAGATTTTCAATACCAAATTCTGATTCGTTTATTTACTATTCCCCTTGGCACGCTTAAGAAAGTAATTGGGAAGCGTTATATAGAACAGTAAGCGTTGTAATTGTAGGAGCAACTACTGGACGAGACCAAGAATTAACCTCCACGGACATTGTCCCTGCAGTTTAATTGCAAGTATGGCCAGGTTATTACGTCTTAAAGTCCTGAACATCGTTGTCCTTTCCTGAATCTACCTGCAAGTAATTTACTTATTGTAAACTATTGTTCACTGGTGGAAAGAATGCCGATTTGAAAGGAAACGTCTATTTTCACAAATTCAAAATGATCTGTATTTAAACCACGATGTATTAGATATAAAATCCGGAGAATTCTAACATAATATAACAATTTTTTTATTTTTCACAATATGCTAATTATGATTTGTAACGATTTAAGTTTAATTTATAAATGTAATTTCATATTCAAGTATATAAATTAGACATACTAGATAGATAGTTTCAAAAATATTTCAGTCTTGGATGATTATTCTAATGTAACTTCATGAAAATGAAAATAATTATTCTGAATATTCAAACTGTAGCTCATCTACTGCTATTTAGCGTGTGGTGTCAGAATTGTCAACAAAGCGTCTGAAGTGGGGATAGGCGGTCCTAGCGAAGGACCCCTCTTGCCTCTGTGCCGTCTCTCCTTACTTCTTTCCACCAGTAAACAGTAGTTTTACAAAGTTGCGTTTGAGAGAATCTTCGAAGCGAGCCTATGAGAGAGGACGTTCGATTCTAACATCGTAAACTCGTTCCGTTCGTTACTGAAACCGTTATTTCTTGCCAAACGCTTGTTATTTGTTTGCACGAACTTCGACAAGGTGAAAAAGCTCGTTCTGAAAACATAACCTAACATTAATCCAGAATTGAAAAAGTAATAACTGGTTAAAAATATCGAATAAAATTAGTTTAAGCAATTACTCGAGTAACATTTGTTCGCTTTCCATTTGGCACCATAATTATTTCCAATTATTATTATTAAATTTCAAACAATAAATTATCGAAACAACTTTATTCGTATTTCTTTTCAAGAAAAGAAATAACACTCTCGCTTTATCTTAAATCGTTAAATATTGACATTTTTTCCCCTCCCTTTTAACCAGGGAATATAAAATACTCTCTAAATTAGCAAGAATTTTTCCGAATTTATGCGTAAGCAGAGGGAAATTTTTCCTTTAAACCAGGGAATTGAGTAAATTAAGGTACACATATTTCGATTTCGAGCAGACACAAGCGTGCAAAGTTTTGCATCGATATTAACGGAATAAAAAGTAAAGTGGAATGGAGGGAAAGGGTCGATTTTACGAAATTAATCGATAAACCTACCCATAAGAGTGACTATGATAGTCCGTTGACCCGCGGTGAACCACAATACTAGCCAGCTGACTAACCTTCCACCAAGCCAATATTAATTTCATTAATTATGCACCACCGTGTTACGATATTAGCGCCGGCCATTTCGCTTTCGAGCATAATTTCCTCGAGAACCGGCGGTAATTATTGCGAGAACCCTTCGGTGAGAGGGCGACAAAGTTCGTTCGTTTGTGGTCGTTGATGCTGAATCCGGAAATAAACGTGGTGGATTTTGTCGAGCGTTGTTGTCGATTTTACAGATTGCAAAAAAATGGCTCTAAAGGAAAATCTAAAGTTAAAATTTTCGCGCTGCGATTATTATTAAAGAAAATAGAGAAACGAAGTTAAAAACGAGATTCCTGGATATAGGCTTATAATTTATTTTTCGAAAGTGAAGAATTACTCGCACGAAAGTTAAATATTTCGCAAAAAAAAAAAAAATAAATGTTTGGAAGATTTTCAGTTTTGCGAATTTAAAAATTTCCATTTTCGCGTAAATCCATGGATCGCCGCGAAGAATATTATCCATGAAAGGAACGGACTTGTTTTAAAATGCATGGCTTAAAATTACGAGCCGAGCTTGTTGCCGTGTCAACGGTGGTAAACTAAGTTGTTCACCGTCTATCCGCGAATTTAACGTTCAGACTTTCGAACTTGGCTTGGGAAAACTAAATTTTGAATTGAGCCGTTCGATTAATTTCTAATTTGTTCCGTTCTTTCTCCGTCGAACGCAATTTCTCGTATATTCTACGTACATTCTCAAATAGTTAATTCGAATTTTTAATTTTGATTAATTTTTCTTAAAAGAAATTAGTAGGATGACAGAAATGTTGCCGATGTCAATTGTCCGAGAGAAAAACTGTTTTTTCCAACAACTTAAGTCCGCTCGGATAGAATTTATTCCAAAACTTTGCCACGTTTTACGTTTCCTCGATAAACACATCCCCCCACAGCTATCCGAACTTTATTATTCATACGGAAAAAACATTTTTGCGGAAAGAAAAAAGAAAAAAAAACGAATCCATCCAAATAATACGTGGAAAAAATATGTGCAAAATATTCAGGATATCGTTGGATTAGAAAATAAAATTAAATAAGAATTAATTCCTATATAATATATAAAGAGGAAAGAGGAAAATAAATTTTTTTATTTCTACTTTTTTTAATTGAAGAAGGTTAAAGAAAAAAGAAGAAGCGAGAATTTAACATTTCCCTCGTCGAGTGGATATTTTTCGTTTAAACCAGAGATTAATATTTCCCCGTATATTCGCATGTCTGACCGATCAAAGAAACCGAAGAAACCGGATTTTAAGATTTTATAAATTAAAATCCTCCATCTCATGATTCGAATATATATTTAGGAATCGAATATAAAAATCTCATTTTCCAATGTTATATCTTCGGCGCGAATATAGATGGGCACGATAGTCCAAGTTAAAAATTAAAGTTAAAAATTAAGTTACTTCGATAATTTATTGCTCATGGTTATACGAAGATCGACTGTAATAAATAAACGTATACCGAAAATTTTTTTCGAAACGACGAGAGGTAACAATTTCCTCGATAAATCGTTGGATCATAGCACGGGCAAATAACGGGAATACGTAGCTGTTGCTTCAATTCATTGCCTATGGATGTGACTCAAGATTGAAGTACACGCGTTACAAGAGGATAATTCCAACGTTCCATCGGCACGAATGCTTTTGGAACTGTTGGTTATGTTGTTTCCGGTGGAAATGGCAGCATGTACAAGTTACCGACAAGCTATAGTATTACAACGTTCAATCTAGAGCGCAATCTAGAGAGCGATACGCGTCGCTTCGTTTTCGTCCATTGCTTCACTTATCCTAATATTAAATTATTGCGGCGCACAATATCCAAAGAAGATGAAAATTTGTCCCTTACTAGTGATTCCATAATCAAATTAAGAGATGCAATACAGAATTTAGAAATTGTTCTGTGTGCACGGAATTATAAAGAAATCGAACGATTGAACGATGTTGCGATTTATTCAACTTTTGACACTTGTGACGTAATCTCGTAATCTTCGACGTTAAAAAGGTTTTAAGACTTCGTACCTTCTCTTTCGTTACGTTCTTTATTTGTATCCACGGAAGAAAGATAGAAGCTTCTTTCAGAAGTTGTCACTTCGCGCGTTCTAACTTTTGGAGGAAGCCATATTGGCCGAGGTCGTTTCGCATCGAAGCTTGCGCAATAAACACGCGCAGAGATCATATGCCATCTGCTGGCGTTCAAATGAACAAAATTCTATGTTTCTTCGCTCAAAAATAGCGATAGTTTTACGCGTAGTATCGCAAACGCTGCCTAACAATTCGTTACGGGGTTAGCAATCGCCCTGTATAACCTATAAATTAATTAGAATTACTTTTATCTTTTAATTTCAAACTTTTTTGCTTATTTCTCTCAAAAAAAAAAAAATTATCACGGCATACCTGTGCTCCGTCGCGTGAGCAGAATAAACGAAAAGAAGAAACATCTTTTGTTCCTTTTTCGAGTTAAAAGCCGATGTGTAGCAGGATGGCGGTAGTGGCGAGTAATACAACGTGTTAACTGAAATTGTCGTGGACATTAATTATCGGGCATAACGCAGGTGGTTAGAAAACGACATTAAAATTTCGTCGACGTTAATTACATTGGTGTCGGATGAATACGAGCGCATTAATGCACTTGACGCGTAATTTTATCAACGATAGCTACACTCACTTTGCGCTTTTGCCGCGACGTTGCTTAACAAGATTGAATTATTGCCAAGAGGCTGTGATTCCAATTAGTCAGTCATATGCGATTCCTTCTTATTGTCCCTTCATCGCATTTCGAATCTGAAAAAATTGAGAAGAAAATATATTTTATTTATGATTTACTTATTTCTATCGTAATAATACATGATCGTATATAGAATATAGATCTCAATCTCTCCTCGTTTTAGGAATAAATTGCTAATTGTCTTCCATTCTATATTGTCTACCTCTATCTGCATATAAACATTTTCATTTTTTAAAGCTTTCGCGTCGCTTAATAAAATAGCTTTCAAATATTCCAAAACCCGTTGTCGAAAAAGCGGTGTTCCAACATTGCTGTTCGTTCTCTTATCTTCTTTTTCTTCTCTTCTTTTTTTTTTTTTTCATTCGAACGATCGCGAACACAGTTTGCTCCTTAAACGTAATTATCTCGAGCATAATTTCCAACGAGCGCAATTACATTTCTATCGCGGAGGATCGTCGATTATTATTGGCGAGATAATGCGCAGGTGGTTGGTCGACCAGCTGCGAAAATAGTATCGCTATTTTTATTTTAAACTATCAGATATTTGGAACACTTTTGCACACTTTTTAAACGGTTATCGTGAAAAATCAAATTGTACGAAATTAAAGTATCGCGTATACTATTTTAAACCATATATAAAAGTAGTTTATTTTTACATCATAGAATTAATTTTCGTTTGTCTGATATCATGAAAAATAATTTATCGGACAAAATTTTGTATTTTAAATCGAAATATCTATTGCAATAATTATTCGGTAAAACTCGTAAAAGACTCGTATTTTGAATGATAATTGATGGTTTTTGACCAGTCACATGATCGCTTCGCATTTCTTCGATACTGTCTAACGTGCACGTGGGCTTGCGAATTAAGATTTATGCGTTAATCAAGCTATTCCGTAGGCGTGCTTAAAACGCGCTTTCGGTAGGAGTGATTGAAAACTATTTAATAATAATAATTATTACGATTAGAAGTGATTTTCGAACAATTAAAAAAAGGCGAATATGATCCGGTTACGTGAATATTCGAGGCTTGTGTACCAGACTTAACAGTTCGTGCGGCGGTTTGGGAAACGAAAGACGAGCGCGTGTTGTCAATCGCGACAGTGATAACGAAAATGGCGGGCTAAAAAGCAATTTCATTTTCTTCACCTCCGTTTTTCCCCCCATTAACTTCAATAACAAATTTCCGTCTCATCATGCAACTTTCGAAACTCATTATTCAAAATTGATAGAATCGAAGAAAAGAAAAAAAAAGAAATAATAAGTTACTGTCGCAAATAGTTGAAAAACCCCTTTACAATCTCGAAGAGAATCGAAGAAAATATTCAATAAGTAAGTAACATCAATATATATACATGTATATATACATTTTGAATCTTCGACTCGAAATTTCACGTAATTTTTTTCCGAAATAAAATAATATCGATTTAATGTCGAATGCTCTCGATAAAAAAAAAAAAAAAAAAAAAGAACACGCAAATTTCGCGTCAAACGTTCCAAGATCGAGCCAAAAGTAAAAAATAAAAATCTCGAGGCAAGAATAACATTAAAAAAAAAAAAAAAAAATAAGAGACAACGAATATCGTACAACGAAAATACCGAATCTCTAGCATGATTTTCTTTGTATAATCCATCTTGAAGAGGAGGAGAGAAAGAGAAAGAGATAGCCCCAGATCTCGAGAATTGTTTTATCTCCTATTGGCGAGGAGATAGATCTCTCTCTCTCGAAGAAGACGCCGAAAATGCTCGGTGGATAGAGAAAAAGGGGGAAAAATTGGTTGAAATCAAAGAAAATGGCCGCCCAGGAAGGCTCGAATAATCAAGCTGGCGAACAAACGAACGATCAACCGAATGGAAACGCCGAGTCTCGCACCGTGGCCACGCCAGATAATTTCGATTGCGCGCCCGATTGTGTCTCCCCCGATGACGAAGATCCAACTCTGATCGTGCGTAGTTAAATTACTCGAAACTCGTTAATAAACCAACCCTTGTATCTTTGTATGATTGTATCTATCAGGCTAGGATATGATGGATTAAAGTTTTTTTTTTTTTTTTTTTTTTTTTTTGGACGATATCGAAAAATTGGGGAGAAGAAGAAAAAGATGAATTTTTCGATGAATCTCGAACGAACGAGAGAGATTTTATTCGAAAAAACGAAGGATCGACTCGAGACAGAGTCGTTCTTTTAAAAAGAAAAAAAAACGAATTCTCAGGACGAAAAATTAGGGAAGAAGAAGAGAGATCACCGGTTTGTTGCTCGTTAAAGTATGCGCCTCGGAAGTATTTCGATTACACGAACACGAGAATGAATTCCCATCGACGTTGCGGGATATTCGGGGCTGGGGGCGCTCGACGCGCCCGAGTTAATTCGACAAATACCGATTTCATCGAATTGTGAACAATAATCTCTCATAAATTCTTATTCTGTAAAATTGTGCCGTCGAAATCTCAGCGAAAAGGCTACGTTCTTTACTACGATGAAATGAGAAAAATATCTGACTTTTCATATCTTGCTTTCTCTGTCGGTAAACGAGAGAACTGCGATATAAGCGTAGCCAGGAAGGCTATCGTGTTAAATTAATCGATCGCGTGTTAAATTTCGAGAGAGAGAGAGAGAGAGAGAGAGAAGAAAAATTGTCAAAAACCTGTTGTTGTTGATCGCGTCGAGCAAATTGTAATAAATATCGCATTTTGGGAACAGTCGACGTTCAAAACTCCCGCTTGTGAAGCACGGTGCAAATACGAGAACAGCAGAAAGAAAAGTAAATGCAAAGTCAGTGATAAATGCGGATTGTGGAGTAGCTGTATTTGATCCATATTCTGAGGAGGAGGAACGTCGGAGCTGAAACGTCGAACGTAAGGTTTTTTTTTTTTTAATTTTATTTTTTTCTTGTTTTCGATTCCTTCGAAAAAAAAAAAAAGGGACGTAAGAAATGAAACTCACGTTGAAAATTTGTTCGTTTGTAGATCCTTTATAAGAGAGCGGGTCAAAGATGCCTATAATTGGATGCACCAAGGAGAACAATTGCAAGAAACTTGCATTCTTAAAAGCAAAGATGCGCGAGCAATATCTAGCAGGTTTGCTTTTGTCGATCTCGTTAATAAATTAATTCGGGAAGGGAATTATAAAATTGTCGTTCACAGATCCAATTTTTATCTTGATCTTTCTTAACGGTCCATCAAAGATTACGCCTTTGCGCTCGACAGTCGCCACAGCGCCATCTCTCTTCTCAATTTGTAATACAAATTGTCCAATTCATGTATGTATTTCCCCCTTCTTAGCCTCATTGGATTCAAATAGATACAAATAGCGAATAAAACTATACCATATTTTATAATAAGTAAGTATATTTTTTTAATGTTACATTTAAAAATATTTAAAAATAAATATTCATTGATTTTTTTTTCCATTTCATTATTTAAATTATATCATACGCGTTATATTTCCTTTTTATATATTTTTACATAACCAATAATTATAGTTTTTTAAAAATTAAATCTTCTAAATATAACCTCAAAATCGGGAGAAAATTAATTTCGCTCAGAGGCTAATAAGAACGCGGTATTGATTCACGAATAGATACTTTATTATATCTATATTTCTTTGTTAGAAAGATGCAGAAAAAGTCGTCGAGCGCAAAGGGTTAAATATCATCGATATCCAGAATCAATCGAATTAATTTTGAAATTTGATTTAAAACGTAAAAATTTCCTTTGAATCGAACTCTCCTTGGCCGTGAACACGATTCGATCCAAAGAGAAAATTAATTTTTAAATTAATAATAATAAAAATAATTTTTAATTAATAATATTAATTAAATTAATAATAAATTAATAAATTTTTAAATTAATAAATTATAATAAATTAATAATTAAACGAAAAAACAACGCGAATATGTATATATATATATATATAAACACTCCACTGGATTCGAACCTAGAGAAGAATAAAGGTGGCGAGGAGGGGAGCAGCTCGCAGAATCCGAAGAAGCCCAGCCAACTGTCCGCGAACGCGTCGGTAAAGGGATCGAGGATCGTGGAACAGTCGGAAGTGGAGCAAGGGCCGATCGAAGAGGCGGAGGTCCCGATTCAACTGCGCGAAACAGCTCCCGAGAAGGAAGAAATAGAGGCGGAGGAAGTGGATTAGATAGAAGAGAGGGCGGAAAGAAAATTGAAAATTCATCATCAACAAGTAGATATATAAAGGAAATAGAAAGATAAACCCCTTTTCACCACCTTGTGTGGGTAATCATTCCCCCCCCCCCCTCCTCATTCCATCGAATTCTTGTTTCTCGTTTCGCATTTTGTATGAAGCAGAAGTGTGTGTAAGTATCGTTGAGAGGGATGTGTAACGCTTGAAAAGATAAGGAAATATCTTCGTGCATCTGATTTCTTCTGATGGCCTTCTTTTCTTCTTCCAGTCTGTTATATCATAATATGTTAAAGGGAAATTGATTAAAGATTAAATTGGAAACGATTTAACGAGGGATCGAGGCGATTTATCGTACAGATTAATTTGTTGCGCGTTTTTCTATTCGAAACGAAAAATGGATAATAGAGTGGTGTTAGGAATATTGGGAGAGAATCTTTCCAAATCGTTTTGCCTTTATATTTTTAAAGAAAAAACTCTTCAGAGAGGACACTTTGCAATCTTAATCGAACTTCAAACGACATCTTTGAAACTTCAATCTGCATTTAGAAAGATGTGCGAGAATTTCTTGCAAACTTGTCTCGAAACGTGTTTTAAAAAAAAAAAAATTGTGTTTCGAGACTCTTAACTCTTTTCCAATTAATTCCATGGAACTTTTGTAAATAGTTTCTCCCCTCCACTTCCCACAAAAATTGCAAATACCGAAACAGAGAAATAAATTTCTCGAACGAAAATAATAAACGAAACGAAGAAATATTTGTATCCAAAATATTCAGTTGTTTGGATAGAGAGTTGCACGAGAAAGATTTTCATCCTTTGAAAAAAGAAAAAATTACAATCCACACCGTTTTCAAAATCACGCGTTAACAAAGAGAGAAAGAGAATACCAAAAACATTTATTTCTCA